GCACCCCACTGCACCCCATTGCACCCTGCTGCACCCCATTACACCCCGCTGCACCCTGTGGCACCCCATTACATCCTGCTGCACCCCATTGTACTCCGCTGCACCCCATTACACTTTCCGTGGGGTGGGAGGGGACTGCTGCACCCCACTGCACCCCATTGCACCCTGCTGCACCCCATTACACCCCGCTGCACCCTGTGGCACCCCATTACATCCTGCTGCACCCCATTGTACTCCGCTGCACCCCATTACACTCCATTGCATCCCACTGCACCCCACTGCACCCCCATTACACCCCGCTGCACCCCATTACACTCCATTGCATCCCACTGCACCCTGCTGCACCTCACGGCATTTGGCATCCCCCCTTTTCCCCCGTGTCCCTTCTGCTCCCGTTTGCCAGGGCTGGGTGTGAGGCCGTGGCGGGTGTCCCTGGAGCTGTGGCCTGTCTGCTGCCACCACGCCATGGCCACCAGCCCCCAGCAGTCCCCTGCCGCGGGTCTGGCTGGGTGAGGGCGGTGATCCCTGGCTCCGGGGCCGCCGTTCTGGGGGGTGCACGGAGCTGGCCGTTCTCAGCCTGTGCTGAGGAAGGCCAGGGGACGGCATGGCTTCGGTGCCAGGGGAACCTCCCTCCTGCTGGCAGAGTGGGAGGCAGAGCCTGGGAAAGGAGGGCAGGATGTGCTGGGGGCCCTGGTTTCTCTTGAGAGTCCTGGGGTGCTTCAGGCTGCACTCAGCCAGCCCTGTGTCCCGATGTCCCTTGTGTCCTGGTGTCCCTCATGTCCTGGTGCTCCCTGAACTCCAGTGCTCCAGAAGCTGCTGCTGCAGGTGCATCCGACCTGGATTTGGGATAATTTGGCATCTGAGATGATGCCACACTTCCCATCGCCATGGCTGTGGGCAGTGGGAGGAAAGGTGCCAGTAGGCCATGGCAGTGGTGGTGCCCTTGCCCATGACCTGGTCATGGCTCCCAGGTCTCTGGTTGTGCAGGTGGGGAAACTGAGGCAGGACCAGCTGGATCTCACTGGCCTGTTGTCTTCTTTGGGAACCTCCAGTTCCCGAGCAGAGGGGTAGCTCAGCTGACGGTCCCCTCGGATGGGCTCCTGTCCCCGTGCTCTGCTCCCCGTTGCCGTTCAAAGGCTCTTTTCAGTGAGTCATTTTCTCTTTTGCTGTCCCACTATCCAGGGAAAATGGTGACGTTGGCGGTACAAAGTGTGTTCACCATGGAAACCAGCTGAAAGGGGGGGCACGCAGCCCCCCGCTCCTCCCAGGTTCGGCTTTGCATCCCGAGCCTCAGAAGATGGCTCTGGAGCTCCTTCCCGGCTCTCTGGCATGGCTGGGCTGTGCCAAGGCCCGTGGGGCCATGCCGGGAGCCAGGGTGCCCTGTGCCCCCCCCGCGTGGTGCTGGGCAGTGCCTGGGGAGCAGCGGGTGCTGCCGGTGCCCACCAGGGCAGCAGAAACTTCCCCAGCCCTGTTGCCCTTGAGGTGCCAGTCTCAAGGACACAGGGGAGCCCGCTCTGGAGCTCCGGAGCAGGGCAGTGTGGCCAGGGCACAGGGACAGGGATGCTCGTGGGCCACGTGCTGGAGCCACGTGTGTGCCACGAGCATCCCTGGCACCAGCTTGGTGACCCAAGGGGCACCATGGCACTGGCAGGGGTCTGTGCCAGGCTCATGGCTGAGCACAGGGCACCGGTCCCAGCCAGGCACTGCAGGGCTGTGGGGGTCTCCGGTGACCGGCTCCGCTGGCAGTGCCATGACCTTCCGGCTGCTCCCACCACAACGGCGCCGGTTGTTAGGGCAAGCTCTGGGCAGAATAGTAATGTGGCAGCTGCAGCTGGCAGCGGGGCCTGCTGGGGATGGGCAGCTGTGACACAGCCACCTCCACTGCCACCGTGTGCCCTGCCACCCCATGGGGCACCGCACAGCTGGAGTGGGGTGGCAGGTGCTGGGATTTGGGGTGTGCTGGTGCCCCGAGGATGCGGTGCCCAGCCAGTGCAGCCGTGTCCCTTCCCCATGCCCCGTGACCCTTCCCTGGTGCCCCCAGCCCTGACCACCTCGTGTCCCCACAGACGGCACCCCCCTTAGTGAGCTCTCCTGGTCCTCCTCGCTGGCTGTTGTGGCCGTTTCCTTCTCGGGGCTCTTCACCTTCATCTTCCTCATGTTGGCCTGTCTGTGCTGCAAGAAGGGGGACATTGGCTTCAAGGTGAGCTGAGGGGCCGGGAGGGGTTCCCAGGCCACGGTGGGGGGCTCTTCCCAGGGACTCAGTGAGGGATGGAGGTGTCTGGAGGCTCTTGGTGCAGAATTCTCCACCCCAGCGCCAGGGCTGGATGTGTCCTGGCTCAGGATAGCAGCACTTGGAGGGAAAGGTTCAGCCCCTTGCTGCCTGCTGGGGCTGCGAGGCTCAGCACACTGGGGGTTGGATCCTGGATCCCAGCTCCACAGAGCGTGGATCTATGGGATTCAGGATCCTTGGGGTCGTATCCTGACCCATCCGTGCTCCCGGCTCCGTACGGGACCAGGCCACGCCACGGTTAAGGGCCCGGTCCCACCCGCACGCCCCCGAGGGTGGGAGGCACCCTGACCTCACAGGCACAGAATGTGCCGAGAAAACGCTTTTTCCCTAATTGCTGAGATTTTTGTGGAGGCTTGTGGCGCCCGCGGCGGGAGGGGGTCAGGCTGGGGGGGACACGCCGGGTGTTGTGTAACGTCCCACACCGCCGGAGCACCTCGCCGTGCCGGGGGGGACAGTGACCCCCTGGTGCCCCCGCACTCGTATTTATGTGCGAGCGGCCGGGCCGGTGTCCGCGCATGGCCCGCGGTGGCACATGGCACACGGTGCGGTGCTGGGGGTGTCGGCAGCGCCATGAGGCACAGCCTGGCACGGTGAGATGCTCACCGTCACCTACCTGCTCGCCCGGGCGGCTTTTGGGAGCCGGGGGCTGCCGGGGTGGCACAGACAGGTAATGGGATGGCTGGTGGGGAGGGTGTGCCTTCTCCGAGTGCGGGCAGGGTTGCGTGCAGGGAGGGGGAATTTTTGGGCCCCCATGAGCCTGTTGGGGCAGAGGGGTGTGTGGGGCACTAGAGCAGTGGGGAGCCCGTGGGGTCAGTTGTCTGTACTCGGTGTGTCACCCCCCTGCACCCTGAACCAGGAGTTTGAGAACGCCGAGGGGGACGACTACGTGACAGAGCTGTCGGCCCAGGGCTCGCCTGCCCCCCAGCATGGCCCCGAGGTCTATGTCCTGCCCCTCACCAAGGTGTCCCTGCCCATGGCCAAGCAGCCGGGGCGTTCAGGTAAGCCTGGGCAGGGCAGGACCCCTGCATGCCACGGCTGGGGTCTCATCACTGGGCACGGGGTGACGTGGGGATGCTGGGTGTCCCCTGCCGTGGAGGGACAGCTCCAGCAGAGCCGTAGCAAGGGACAGGCAGCCGAGGTCCCTGGGGAGCGCTGCAGGGTCCCCCTGTGCGAGGGTCCCTTGTCCCTGCCTCCACGCACTTGTGTGTCCCAGCCCAGGGGAGCAGCACCGGGGTGGGACAGGACACGGCCACCCTGAACGGCGACTTCCACGAGTCCTGGTCCCATGTAAACAAGGCCCTGAGTAGGAGAGGAATGTGGGGGGCGCCTGGTTGTGCCCCCTCCCACCCCGTGTCACTCCCTGCCCAAAGAATGGCCACAGTGGGGGGGGCAGAAAGGACCAACAATGGCCCCATTGCTGCCTGCCCTTGGCACGGGCTCCCGAGGGGCCGGACTGTGCCGGGGGGGCCGGGAAGGGGCTAAATGCCAGCGCTGTGCCGGGCTCAGCTCTGCACACCCTGCGGAGGAGAAGGGGCAAGGAGCCAGCTCTGCTGCCATCCTGCTCGGGGACACTGATACCCCACATCCCCCGGTCGTGGGAGGATGCCTGGAGACGAGGATGCCTGGGATGCAGGATTCCTGGGGATGGATGCTCCGGAGCATCCTGGGGTGGCAGAAGGCCTGGCACCAGGTGGCACGGTGAGGACAGCAGGGCTTGGCTGGGACTGGTGGGGAGCACAGGCAGATGGGCAGGGGGATGTGTGGGCAGGGGGACACGCGGGCAGCTGGATGGGCTCTGTTACAGTGCAGCTCCTCAAGTCGGCGGACCTGGGGCGGCAGAGCCTGCTGTACCTGAAGGAGATCGGGCATGGCTGGTTTGGCAAGGTGAGCCCAGGGCCAGGGACCCCTGGACACCCCACCCCGGTGGGATGTGGGGCTCCGGCTGTGCCAGGTGGGTTTGGGGTGCGGATGGAGGAATGAGCCTGTCCCTCACACCAGGTGTTCCTGGGGGAGGTGAACTCGGGCATCAGCAGCACCCAGGTGGTGGTGAAGGAGCTGAAGGCTAGTGCCAGTGTGCAGGACCAGATGCAGTTCCTGGAAGAAGCACAGCCCTACAGGTACCTTTGGGGTCACTCCACAGTGCTGGCAGAGAGGATGCTGTGGCATGGGGGCAGATCTACTCCGTGCCACCTTCAGCTGCCGGGCAGAGCCGTGGCTGCCCCTTGCTCTGGGGCATCACAGTTCTGTCCCTACATCGTGGCAGGACCGGGGCTGTGAGGGGCCACAGCCATGCCACGGGGCAGCAGTGAAGTCATGGGCAGAGCTGGGCCAAGCAGGGGGGGCACAGGGCTGCTCCTGCCCCAGCACAGCTGAACAAATGTCCCTTTGTGACACATCCCGGGCGCTGGGACGCGCTGGTACCCACTCCCGGCAGCCCCTGTGGCAGCCCCGGTGCAGGCAGGACGATGGCTCCTGGGGGACTGCAGCCATTCCCCTGGCACAGGAAGGGTGATGGTTCTGGGGGGCTGCCATCGCCCCTCCCACACCAGTCCCGGCACAGGCAGGGCAGCGGTGCACAAACGCCCTCGTTGCTGTGCCCACGCAGAGCCCTCCAGCACACCAACCTGCTGCAGTGCCTGGCCCAGTGCGCCGAGGTCACCCCGTACCTGCTGGTGATGGAGTTCTGCCCGCTGGTGAGTCCCTGTGCCCGCTGCCCGTGGTGCCCCCTGGGCGCTGGGCACGAGGGTGACAGTGGCATTGCCCGCAGGGTGACCTGAAGGGGTACCTGCGGAGCTGCCGGGGGGCCGAGGCCATGACCCCGGACCTGCTGACACTGCAGAGGATGGCATGCGAGGTGGCCTGCGGCGTCCTGCACCTGCACAGGAACAACTACATCCACAGGTAGGCTGTCCTGCATTCCGGGGGGAGCTGGGGAGCCGTGCGGGGTCTGCATGGGGGTGGGTTCCCGAGGTGCCAGTGCTCCTGCCCCACCACTGCTCCTCCTGCCCAACAATATCCTGGTGCTGAGTGAGTTGCAGATGGAGACTCCAGCATCAGTGATTTTGTTGAGGAGGGGGCGTGCTGCCGTCGGGGGCCACCGGAGTGTCCCCACCCAAGCCTGGCTCTGCAGGTGGGTCCCCACGAGGGTGCTCGAGCTGTGGGAGGGGGACATGGGGCCCCCAGAGGGACTGCCTTAGGGCAGCGCAGCCTTGCTGGTCCCTGCTGCAGCAGGGGTCCTGCCTGTGCCCGGCTGCATGACCCGCCCTGAGCCGGGGCAGCCGCCCAGGAGCCCGGCCCCGTGCCAGGGCTCACGTTGCCCGGGAACAGCCGCCTTCTGCTTGGCTCGGCGTGTGACGGATGGACGGACGGACAGCGGTGCAGCTGGGGCCGGGCAGGCATTCCTGCTGTGCACTGAGAGCCGCGTTATGGGCACGCCCGGAGCCGGGCGGAGAACAGCCCCGCCGCCGCACGGCCGCCCCAGCCGGGTTCCCGGTGGGTGCTCCCCGAGCTCTCGGTGCCGGTGACAGCTCCGGGTTTGCTTGGCAGCGACCTGGCCCTGCGGAACTGCCTCCTCACCGCCGACCTCACCGTGAAGATCGGGGACTACGGGCTCTCGCACTGCAAGTACAAAGTAAGGCTGGTTGGAGGGAAGAGGGGGCTGGGGCTGTGTGCTGGGATCCCGCGGTACCCCCACGCACACCCACCCTGGCACAAACCCCACTGAGCCTTCCCCCACCCTCACGCACACATCTCCCCTTCCCCAGCGGTGTTGGGGCACCCCTGTGTTTGCTGGGGTTCAGGGGGGTTCAGACCACCCTGTGAGGGACCTTTAGTGCCACCCGGTGTGCCCTGGCACCCACCCAATGGGGTGACACTGCCTGGGCTGGTCCAGACATGCCCCTCTGCCAGGCACAGGACCCTGCAGGCAGCTGCCAGCACAGCCCGGGGTTGCCCACCCGTCCATTTGCGTCTCTGTCCTTCTCCAGTTTGCCCACAGCTCCTGCAGAGCTGGGACTGCCGAACTGGGGGTCTGGAGGGGCTCGGCTGGGGGAGCAGAGGGGCAGAGGGGGGGAGGAGGGGAGGCAACAGAGGACAGTAGGTGCCAGGAGCAGTGCAGGACAGGCCGGGGGCAGATGTGGGGGAACAAGGGGCATAGGGGGCAGCGATGGTGGGGGGTGGCAGTGCTGGTCCCTGACGCCATGGATTGACGTTCTCTTCTCGTACTGACCCTGCACACTTGGCAGGATGACTACTTCGTGACGGCCGACCAGCTGTGGGTGCCGCTGCGCTGGATCGCGCCCGAGCTCATTGATGAGGTGCACGGCAACCTGCTCGTGGTGGACCAGACCAAGGCCAGCAACGTCTGGTGAGCGGCTCTGGGGGGCACAGGGGGCTGCAGCCTCATGGGATGCATCGGGGTGGTTTTGGGGTCGACAGTCCGGGGCAGGGTGGGGTCTCCCTGCACCCCCAGCATGGCGCCATGCCCGCAGGTCGCTGGGCGTCACCATCTGGGAGCTGTTTGAGCTGGGCAGCCAGCCCTACGACCACTACTCTGACCGCCAAGTGCTGGCCTACGCCATCAAGGAGCAGCAGCTGAAGCTGCCCAAGCCCCAGCTGAAGCTGTCGCTGTCGGAGCGCTGGTGAGGAGCCCGAGGTGCCCCCTTCCCCTGCCCCGTGGCATGGGCGGGGGCCGGGCTGACGCTGGCCGCTCCCCATGGCAGGTACGAGGTGATGCAGTTCTGCTGGCTGCAGCCCGAGCAGCGTCCCACGGCCGAGGAGGTGCACCTGCTGCTGTCCTACCTGTGCGCCAAGGGGGCCACGGAGGCTGAGGAGGACTTTGAGAAGCGCTGGAATTCCATGAAGCCCAACGGCAGCGCCAGCGGCAGCCACCACGGCCCCGAGCTCTCGTCCTTCCCACTGCTGGAGCAGTTCTCGGCTGACGGGTTCCCCTCGGACGGGGACGACATCCTCACTGTCATGGAGACCAGCCATGGCCTCAACTTCGAGTATAAGTGGGAGCACACCAAGACTGAGCACTTCCAGGCCCCCCTGGGGTGCCTGAGCCCCAGCAGCGCTGCCCGCTACCACGACCTCTATTACCCGGCCACGACGGCAGGGCTCAGCCTGGGGGTGTCCCCATCCTGCTACGAGTGCAAGGCATCCGGCTGCCCCGGGGTGCCGGCGCCCGGTGTGGTGCCCATCCTGGGTGCCCACAGCCCCTCTCTGGGCAGCGAGTACTACATCCGCATCGAGGGTCCCGGCGAGGGCAGCGCCGAGCTGGACTACGCCATGTGCACCTACAGCCCTGTGGGCGAGCGGGGGGCCCTGCGGCCCCCGGCCTGCTGGACAGCCCAGGGCGGCCGCAGCGGCGGCACCTACGACTCGGAGTCGGGCAGCCCCACAGTGTCCCTGAGCATGGAGCCGCTGCTGGGCCACGCACCCGCGGCCGAGGGCTCCTGGGAGTGCGCCGAGTACTACCCCTACCCCTGCCCCGGGCAGGAGCCGCGGGGCTACGAGCCGTCCCCCAGCCACGGGGCCGAGGGGTACCTGCTGGAGGAGGAGCCCCCCCAGCCGGGCAGCCAGGACTGGCCCGTCCCCGCCTTTCAGTCCGGTGTCTTTGCCGACCCGCTGGGCGTCTCGCCGTCGGGGAACTGCGCCTACAGCCCCCCGGGGTACGGGGGCACAGCGGGCCCGAGCGGGGCCCCGCCGGACTGCGTGGCGCTGGAGCTGGGCGAGGAGAGCCCCCCCAGCGCCCCCCCCCCCGCCGGTGCCAGCCCCCCGCCTCAGCGCCACCCGTGGGCCTCCAACAGCTCCTCCAACAACAACATCGGCAGCGGCAGCCCCCGCGAGCCCCCGGCCGGCGACAGCTGGTGCTACCGCCGCATGATCACCTTCCGCGGGCTCATGGCCAAGCCGCTGGGCACGGTGCCCCGCGGCCAGCCCCAGCTCGGGGGGTCCCCGCCGGGACACGACTTCCTCCGCCCGCGGCAGGATCAGCCCCCCGCCATGGCCGGCGGCTCCTCCTCCCCGTGCCGCTCGCCCTCCCCGCGGCGGCAGGCCTGGCACGGCCGTGACTCATCACCCTGCGGGCCCGCGCAGCCCGGCACGCTGGCGGAGAGCCCCGCCGCGCCCTGGGGCCCCGCCGCAGCCCCGCCACCTGCGCCGGGGGCCCCGCGCGATGCCCACCCTGAGGAGAGCTCGGCCGGGGACAGCCCTGCCCGCAGCCCGCTGCCCCCCGCCGCCGCGGGGCCGGGGGAAGCCGCCTCCCCCATGGCTGGCACGGCCGCCCCGAGCCCCGGCCCCCCCGGCGAGCCCGGCGCGGACGGCGCCCAGCCCACAGCGGAGCCCGCCGAGGCGCCCGCGGAGGCCGTGGCCGAGAGCGGCGCCTGTGCCGCCAGCGACGCCGACCGGACGCCGGACAAGACCTTCTCCAGCAGCAGCTTCCCCAGCGTGGACGAGGGCAGCGACGAGGACACGGCCGAGCTGACCTCCGGCGTCTTCACCGACTTCTCCGGGGAATACACGGAGCGGGCGGAGGCGGCCCCGGCGCTCAGGTCCCTGCAGAAGCAGGTGGGGACGCCGGACTCGCTGGAGTCGTTGGACATCCCCTCCACGGCCAGCTCCTGCGAGGTGCTCAGCCCCGGCGCCTTCGCGCCCGCCGGCCAGGCCCGGGCCCTCGACAGCGGCTACGACACCGAGAACAACGAGTCCCCCGAGTTCGTGCTCAAGGAGCCCCACGAGTCCCGAGAGCCCGAGGCCTTCAGCCAGCTGGGCAAGCCTCCCCCGGGGCTGCCGGGGGGCGAGGGCGAGGCTGCGGCCCCCGAAACGCGGCTGCCCAGCGGCCCGGGGGCCGAGCTGGCCGGCCTGGCCGAGAAGAGCCCGTACCGCGACTCTGCCTATTTCTCCGACTGCGACGCCGAGGCCGAGCGTGGCCACAAGGACGAGGGGGACAGCGATGGGTCCCGCACCCCGGAGGCAGAGGAGGGTCCCCGCTCCCCTTTGCAGGACATAGGGCGAGGAGAGGACCCGCTGCACCCGCCGGGGGCACCCGGCAGCCCCCCGGCAGCACCTAGCGTCGCAGTGCCCACGCCAGCGGCTGTGGCTTTGGAGGGGGACTGGGTGGCGACAGGGGCCGGGAGCTCACCGGAGCAGGTGCCTGGCACCGAGCAGAGCCCCGCTGGCACGGGGCTGGTGCCGGGCAGCCCCCCGCACCCTGACACAGACACCTGTCCCCCGGGCTCTGTGACCCCCAAGACTTTCCTCTTGACCCCGGTGCCAGTGAGCCCTGGGGAGCCATCAGCTTTTGGAGGGACCTGCGTGTCCGAGGGCGTCCCTGGACTTGGGGGGGCCACAGTGGGGGACAAACAGACTGTGACCCCCGCGCTGGGGCTTGGGGAGCGGGGGCTGTCCCTGGAGGGCACCAGGGCGGGCGATGCGCCAGGGGGTCCCAGCACTCTGGTCCCCGGGGGCGAATCACTGCCGGGTCTCTCCCCGGCCCCGGCTGCCCCCGAGCGCCGCGAGGAGCCAGAGGAGGAGGAGGAGGACACAGAAGACAGCGACGAGTCGGATGAGGAGCTGCGCTGCTACAACATCCAGGAGCAGAGCGAGGAGAGCGAGGAGGAGCCGGCGGCCGTGCCCATCGTGGTGGCCGAGAGCCAGAGCAGCCGGAACCTGCGCAGCCTCCTCAAGATGCCCAGCCTGCTGTCCGAGTCCTTCTGCGAGGACCTGGAGCGCAAGAAAAAGGCCGTCTCCTTCTACGACGATGTGACCATCTACCTCTTCGACCAGGTGGGTGCCCTGGGGGACAGGGCCAGCTACTGGGAATGGCTCCATGCCATTTTGGAAGTAGGAGCTGTCTACAGCCAAGCCCCCACTGAGGTTTCTTCCTGTTTCCCCATCCTCAGGAAAGCCCCACGCGGGAGCTGGCTGAGCAGAGCTTCCCAGAGCCCACCCTGCCTTCGGGGCAGCCCCCCTCGCCTTCGGGGCAGCCCCCTGCCAGTGGCAGCCCCCCCAGCCCCACGGATAGGCTCGGAGCTTCCGATGACTCTTCAGACGGCAACGCCTCGGAAGAGAGTAAGAGACCAGGAGCTCTTGGGGCTGGGATTGTGGGGTGGTGGCAGCAGTTATGGGATCATGAAGAGGCAATTATAGGGTCATGGGGACAGCAGTTATGGCATGATGGAGGGCCACTTATGGGGTGATGGGGTTAGAGGTTGTGGGGCTCACAGTGGGCTCAGCCCCCTCACTTTGTATCCCAGGCGGTGGTTTTGAGTGGGATGACGACTTCCCACTGATGCCAGTGAAGCAGTCCCTGGTGGCCTCGCTGCCGGGGACGCCAGCAGAGCCCCCCGCGGCCGTGCCCGCCCTGGTGCCGGCGCAGAAACAGGTGCTGCCCATCCAGTTCTCCCGGTTCACGGTCTCACCTGCCCCGGTGTCCCGGTTCTCCATCACCCACGTCTCCGACTCGGACATGGACTCCATAGGAGGTGAGTCCCCCTCGGGATGCTGCTCTGTGGGTGCCCAGAGCGGCCGTGTCCCAGTGCCATCCACGCTGTGAGCCACGGGACACCGTGTCCCTGTGTCCCATGGGGACGCTGGCCCCTGCGAAGGGCTGGATGTCCCGTGGGGGTACGGGATCCTCTCATGGCTCTCTCCGCTCGTTGCAGGCAGCAGCGAAGACGGTGACCGGGAGTGAGCCTGCCGGGACACAGCCGGCATTGCCCTGGCACCGGGGCGGCGCGGGCCGGCGGGGCCGGCGCGGGGGCCGCCCGTGGGCTCCCAGACCCCGCTCGGCAGTTTTTAGGCAGATTTTATCGCAAGGAACTCGTTTGCTGCTTCGAGTGGGAGCGGGGCCGGCGCGGCCCCCGCGGGGCCAGGCGGTGGGTGACGGTGACGCCGTGCGCGTGTGCGGGTGGCTGTGAGCGTGCGTGTAAAATAGACACTTATATATATATATATACATATATATATATATATAAATTATAGCGTTTCAAGGGTAGTGCCCTGACCTTGCTAACATTTGCGGAGTGTCCTCCCCAGTGAAGTTCCTTCCCCCTTGGCTTCTTGCCTATATATGCTCCCCGAGGCAGTTTGTCCCCACACCCCTTCTCCCCCGGGCTGTCCCCCTCCCTGTGCCCTGTGCTCAGTCTTGCACCTTGTGGCAGCTTGGCTGTCCCACAGCGGCCCCATGGCTGCCCCAGAGGCACTCCACAACATTCCTGACCAAGGGGCCACTGGCTGCTGCCAGTCTGGATGTCACTTCCTGTGCCAGGGGTGCCACCAGCTACCCAGAGTGGTCCCCATGGCTTTGGAGCTCCCCTCCCTTGGTTTGCAGGGATCAGTCCCAGCTGGGGACCCTGAGGACTGCTGGGACCCTTGCCCATTGTAGTGGGGAGCAGCATGTGGAGGGCTGGTTGTGGAGGGAGTATCCCCCACCGGGACCCGCCAACCTGACTATTTTTGTATTTAAACAAAATTATTAAAAAAGCCCAACCCCAACCCCACCCCAAAACCAAAACTTGCTGTTGACTGAACCCCCACATTGATGCGATTTTAAGTTATTGCTGCCAAAGAGACTTATTGGGGAGGGGGGGGAGGGGGGCGCGCTCGTGGTTCTTTGTTCTGTTTTGGGTTTTGTTTGTTTCTTTCTTTGTTTTGTTTTTATTCTAAAATTCATTCGAGGCTTAGGATAATTGTGCAATTCCAGCTTCCGGAAGGAAATAGAAGTAAGCGGAGCTGAGCGAAACCTTGAATTCAGGGCTGGTTCCTTTTGGGCTCTATAGACCAAACCCTGAGGTGAGAAATGTCCCCCCTGAGCCCCTGCCCCTGTCCTGGCTCCTGTGTAGAGGGATGAGGGACACTGCACAGACAGCATCCACGTGGGATGGGGCTGGTGTCGGATTCTGCTCCATGCCACAGAGTGATCCCACCCTGGCCTGGACACAGCTCTGGCACCAGGACCCATGGGATGAGCCTGTCCCCAGCCCAGCCTGGCACCAGTGCTGGCAGGTGTCCCCATACTCACCCACCCTTCTCCCATCCTCTCCCATAGCCAGCCCAGCCTGGAGCTGTGTCCCAGCTGGAGTGCCCTCGGTGCTCAGGGTGCTTTTGTGGGGGCCAGGGGCTGTTCCCCAGCCCAGGACCCTGGGGGACCCCAACATCAGCCCCAGGGTGGCCATGCCACCCCATACCCCCACTGCTGGTTCCTCCTCCCTACTATGCAGTTAGTGCTTATTTGTTTTATTTGAGCCCCCACCTGGCCTGTAACATCCCACCCCAATTCTCCCAAGCTTTTTTCCTTATCCTTTACAACAGGGGGGGCCATCCCCTTCCCTGACCAGGGGTGCAGCACCCAGGGCTGCTGCCCACACAGGACTGGGATGCTCCCAGGATTCCCTTCCGTCAGTACCCACCCTACTACCCCCTGATCCCCCCCTTCCCTGCACCCCCCAACACTGGGAGGGGGGGGTTGCTCAGCCCCTGGCACCCAGGGGTGCTGGTGCAGCCCCCACCCCACACCCCAGGTTTGGTCTATGGCGCCGCAGGTCCCGGCCCCGGAGGGCGGATAAGGACAGAGCTGTGGCTTGGGTAACTTTTTTAATAGAAAGGCTCTTCTTACATGGTCTATTTTCTCAATACGGGTCATAATTGCTGTATTTTTTATCAGTGCTGATTTCCATACAGCTCCCAGCATGTGTGTCAAATCTCATCGGGCCAATAATAAAGTTTTTAAAATATCTTAAGTTGTTTCCTGCCCCGATCATTGCCCAGCACCCAGGATGGAGTCAGCTCAGGAGGGCCCTGGCCACGCTCCAGGGCCAGGCAGGAGTCTCTGGCCAGGGGAAATGCTGCAGCAGGGAGGGCTGGGGGAGGTTAAATTGCTCATAAATTACGTTTTCTCATAAAAAATTATTGCAGGTTACGTCTTACAGGTGCCACCGAGCCAGGAGTGCAGCGAAGCCCCTGGGGGCTGGCTGGAGCCAGGGTGGCAGCTTGGGGGGCCCAGGGGACAGCCCCTGGCACGGGGATGGAAGAGGACACTGCAGTGGCCAAGGGGACCCCAGGCCTGTCCCCAGCTCGGGCTGTGACCACCAGCCCTCCCACCCACTGTCCCACCCCCCAGCAGAGCCCTTTCCCTCGCCCCTGCCCCATCCACCCCCCACCCATCTGCTCCAGCCCTGGGAGAGGAAGAGGAGGCACATCATGGAGCTGGGAGCCCTCGTGCAGAGCCGGAGCCTGGGCAGTCACAGGAGAAGCTGTTCTGCAGCAGAGCTGGAAAACCCATCAGAGGGAGAGATGAGCCACCATGTCCGACTGGGACCGAGCTCCCTGGGCTGGGGACACTGTGCCCTGCCCAGTGCCCAGCCAAGCAGCCACTGCCCGGGCTGTGGGGACCAGGACATGCTGCACCAGTGAGCAGAAAGTGCAAAAGGAGAAATACAATGGAAAAAGCAAAAACTCTGTTTGGATTCAAGCCTTCACCCATGGGAGACACAGTTCCTGCCTGGAAACTCTCTTCTCCCTGTTTTTGAGCAAGGATGTGACCCTGGTCACTCAGGAGCTGCGGGAAGGGCTGCGGGAGCCTCCTTACTTGTGGGCACCCCCAGCAGTAAGCTTAGCAAGTGTGTGTATATATATTTATATATATTTATCTCTATCTCTCTCTCTCATGCAGCCCTAGGAATAGAGGAAGAGCAATCAGCCAAGCAAGAGGTCTGGATGAGAGCTCCTGTCTGCAGGGAGCAGGGGCACACCAAGGCTCGCTCACACACTGCCCTCTCCTCCACAAGTGGTTTTTTCCTAGCTTATATTTTACAGCAGTACCGTGATTCCCTACAGTATCCCGAGCCCTGGCACAGCAGGAGCTCTGGGACCGGAGCTGACCCCGTCCCAGCGGGGGCTGCAGTGCTGGCACCCACTGCCCTGTCCCAGCCCGGAGCATGGCCTGGGCACCTGGGGTCTGGTGGGAGCCTGGGCGCTGCCTGTGCCACCCACCATGCCTTGGCTTGCACGGGGTGTCCCGGTGTCCTGCCTGGCCTGGGGGTCCCTCCTGTCTGGGCAGGGAGAGCAGGGGCACCGTGTTCTCTCTGCCTTGCTGCCCCTTTGGAGCACTGTGAGCCCACGGAGAGTTGTTCTCCAGCTGAGCCCATTTCCCCACCCGCAGCAAGCTGCTGCTGGGCCTGGGAGCCACCCCGGCTCTGGGACACGCTGCCCTGACTCCAGGAAGTGCCACCACACTCAGCACAGGCACAGGACAGGTGACATGGCAGCGCTGTGACCCCCTGCCACCGAGGGAGTCTAGAGAAGAGAGAACTAGGGCACTAGCTTGAGCCTTTGGCTTTCAAAGCAGCAGGATTAATAATTTCGGCCTAGAAATGGAGTCCTGGGAAGCTGGACATGCAGCAGCGAGGAGGAGGATGAGGAGGGTGAGGAGGTGGCGAGTGCCACGCGGGCGCCAGCGCTCCCGGATCAGCTGATGAGCGGGGCCGAGCGGTCGTTTGTCACCGTTGGCTTCAGCTGGACGTTGGCAAAAGGGTTCCTGTGCAGGAAGAGGAAGGAAGAGTTAACAGGGTGTGGAGGCCTGGAGAGGACAGGGCACCGGCACAGCGAGCGGTGACTGGCAAGACCCCGGGACCAGCAGCATTTGGGAAGGACTTAAACTGGAAAAGCTCTGCCTTGTGGAGCCCCCGTCCAAGCTGCCCCCACTCCTTGAGCTGCCTCCACTCCTCAGCTGCCCCCACAACTCTGCTCCTCTCCCAGCTAAGCCGCGGTGGGTCAGAGATGAGCCAAGTGCAGCTGCAGGGGGATGTTCTCCTACCTCACTCTCCTTCAGCCTAAAGCTGGGGATGCCACTGGGAGCCAGGGCTGATGAAGCTGCTCCAGCCTCCTCCAAGGCTGCACTCCAACAGTTCCCACAGATGGGAGCACTGCAGGATCACCCAGCCCTGGAGCAGGGGGTTATGGCTTCACTCCTGGCCAAGGGCAGAGCTGGTAGCTCCCTGCAGAGCCCTTGTGCTGCCTCTGGGGAAGTTAAATCCAAGAGGAAGAGTGTGGGAGACTAAGGACACTTTGATGAGCTTGTCAGAGACCAGGGCCCAGACAGGCTGACCTTGGGTTTCACCTACCTGGGGTGTCCCCAGCACCCTCCTGCTGCCATTGTCACCTGGCCAGGACAGGGTGCAAGGACTGCCTTGGCACGGGGAGCATCCTTACCCCTTCTCCAGGAGGTCCCCTCTGTCCTTTCCCAGCAGGAGTTAATTTCTGGGGGGTGTGGGCAGCTTTGGGGGTCCCTCTAGCTGCCTGGGGAGCCACCAAGCACCCCCGGTCCTCCCTGCAGCCCCTCTGTCTCATCTGCCCACTGCCCCCAGCCCTCTCAGGAGCCACACAATCCTTCTGTCCCCAGTGGGAGCAATGGCCACAGCCCCCCACGCCAGGTCCCACAGCTGGGCCTCTGGCCGGTCACTCACCGTGGGGGCACAGCCCTGCTACCCCTGACGTGGGTTCAGGTAAAGTGCCGTGGTTACCGTGTGCACCCTGCACCGAGCAGCTTTGGGATGTCCCCAGAAGCTTTGGGATGTCCCCAGAAGCTTTGGGATGTCCCCAGACATCTCCCAGAGCAGAAAGGAAGATGCTGGGACCTGCACCCTTCTGGGACAGGCACTCACTGTCAGCCCCAGGCCCCATCTCTGCCATCCCTCACCTCTCCACGTTTGCTTTTTCTTTCCTTAAAAGATAAATGACTTTTGCTTAAAAATAGGGTAATTAATTTCACACCTAATTAATGCAGCTGCTTAGATCACTTTCCTTCCCAAGATGCCAAAATAGATTCTCAGGACTGGAGGGAGAGGAAAAGTTGCTTTGATGAGTCACCCGGGGCTCATTTAACTCTTTCTGTACTGGCAGAGAAGAGCCACTGGGATGGAGTCTGCAGCTCCAGGGAAAGCAGCTCATGGATCAAAGAGAAATGGGGAAGGGACTTTCCAGGCTCTGCAGTGCCAGCGAGGAGGGTCTCGACTCCTGGGGAGGCTCCTGCATCCCGTCCCTGGGGCCAGGACCAGGAGGCTCCTGGGTCGAGTCTACAACAATAAAAGCTGCTCAAAAAACTTGCGGTTAGTGCGGACGTGCCCCGCGCCGCTGGACAGGGCTGGGGCCAGCGGCGGCCACCGGACACCTACAACCAAAGAGCTGGTCACGGGGAGCGGGGCAGCACGAGCAGCAGGAGCAGCTCAGCATCCCGGCAAGCGCAGCCGCGGCAGCGGGGCGAGCAGCAGAGGCAGCCGGGGAGCCCCGGAGCTCGGGGACAAGCGGTGACGGAGGGAGGGGACGCGCTCGGCCGGTGCAGCGGGAAGCAGAGCGGTGGCACCGTCCCCGCGCAGCCCCGCGGCGTCACCCGCTGCCCAGCGCACCCAGGGCTCGGCCCCGCAACACCGTCACTTACTAACTACGGGCAAGGGCACCTCAAAACCTGGCCACTTCAACATCGGGGCTGCAAGGGAAACAGAAGGCAGGTTGGAGGACGCTGGGACGCTTGATGGGAACAGAAGGTCGTGGTTAAGGAGAGACTTAAGGCCATGAGCCGGTGGCCACCTGGCCCGAGAGCCCGCTGGCCACCCCACACGCAGCGCCGGCAGGCAGAGGAAACAGGAGGAAAAAGAAGAAAAAGGAGGAAAAGTCGTATTTATTGAGTTGCTGGTGCTGTGAGGAGGGGAAGGAAGGGCACGGCCAGCCGGGAGCTGTGGGAGTGCAGCGGCTGGGCACGGCGGGGGCTGCGGAAGGGAGGGGGCGGCTTCCTTCCCCCCGTGCCGGCCATCGCCGCTTTCCCACCGTCGGGAAAGTGCAGCTGGAGCCTTGGCATGCGGGAGCAGGAGCAGCATCACCCCTCAGATGCTCAGGGAGGGGACCCGGCTCTAAAGCAGCTGTCGCTGCTCCCGCTCAGCGAAGCTGTTTAGTGCCGGCAGGGCTGAGCGCGCACAGGCAGCGTCCCCAGGGACGGAGCAGGGAACAAAAACACAGCCTGGGAATGCGCGGTGGGCGATGCAGGCGGTGAGGGCAGCACGCAGGCACGGCAGCCGAAAAAGACACCGAGGCCCAGCTCAATGCAATAAATAAAACTTTTATTCAAACAATAACTCAGTACAGGGCACAATTCTCTCTGGCTTTTAAAAAAAGGTTTTTCAGCACTTTACAATCTCCACACAGGCTTTGCTCGGCTGGGTTTGTGGTTTTTTGTTTTTTTTCTTCCCCCCTCTACATTCAGTCATTCATCGTGAAATATCCTGGGTTAAAAATCCTTAGCAAAATTCAGACATCGATGCAGGAGGGGCTCAGAACAGTGTGCCCACAGGCGAGGAGATAATCCAAAAACTGGTCCGGGGTGGGGGGGTCTATTGCCAGCAATGTCCCAGTAAACAGGCAATGTCAGAGGTCTTAAAAATCACATCAGAAAAAAGCGTGAACAGCTTTGCAGTGGAGACGGCCACGGGCACTGGGAGGGCTACGGCCAGGCCAGTGCGGAGCGGGACCCCAGTGCGGGGTGGGAGCCCCCTGGACACTGCCTTGCTCAAGCCTGGTTTGGGCATGCGAGCAGTCCTTGGAGCCCCAGCCCTAGCGTGAGGTAACAATACCTTGCTACAAAAAATATATATATATATATTTATAAAACAACCAGGAGTAACCCTTCGGGGGGGTTCCCACAGCCGGCGGGACCCCAGCCCAGAAGCAGCCCTTTCCCCGGGGCGGGAGCTCTGTGCCATCCGCTTCTCCCAAAGTCACCGCGGTGGGATGGAAGCGGATCAGGCCGAGGGGGAGGCGCGGGGACGCTGCTCCCCCTCCGGGAACGGCATCCCGGGCGCGGGCATCCCGGATGCTCAGTAACAGTACGGACACCAGAGGCCATGCATATGTGATCCAGTCTGGGAGTTTGGTCCAGGCTCGTGCGGGGCGGCCGGCGCGGCCCCTGGGGGGGACAGTGCATCGCTAACATCACACGGGAGGACAAACACCGGGTCCCACTAAGTGACAACTGCGCCTGGGCTGTGAGCACAGACCTGGCAGCAGTTTCTGCTCCAAAAAGGCTTCAGAAACAAGGGCACTGTGAACACCAGGGAGGGGTGAGAAGCACCATGGTTTCCTTGAAGATCACAAGAGTTTCAAATCCAAAAGAAGTAGAGAAAGAGAAACGAAAGGGAAGGAAAAAAAAAGGGGGGGGAAAGAAGCAGAAAGCTCTTCCAAGCAGCAAGGGGCCGCTGCGAGCCCAGGTGTCCTCACACCGTTGATACCAAACTGCCACTGCCGCTGCGGAACAAAGCACAGAGATGCCAGAGTGGCCGCGGGGCAGCACCGAGCTCACGGCACCGCAGGACCCATCACTGCCGGGCAGCAAGCTCCACCCAGCTACGGGCTTGGGCTCAGCCCCAGGAGCGAGACGGGGCAGCTCCGAGGCAGAGGGGATGGAGAAGGTGCTGGGGAAAGGCCCCGGAGCGTGGGCTCTGCGTGGCTTCCCTACCCCGGCGTGAGCCCGGAGGAGGCTGGGAGATGCGACTCTCTGGAGGAGCACGAGCTTGGGGACACCAGGCTGGCCCTGGGACCTGCCCTCCCTGGGTCCTCCCACTCTCACAGATGAGACCTGGCCCCATCCCAGCCACTGCCAGTCCCCGGGGAGCCCATGCAGGGACCCCTGTGGGGACACAGCCCCACGGCTTCGCCCACAGCCAACACCAACAGTTCGCAGGGAATGTGACAGGAAGGTGACATCTTACCTGTTGACAGACCTTGTCCCGTAGTCATCAAGACCCTGAGGAGAAGAGAGGAGGAAGGACAGTGAGGAACATGTGGGCTGTGCCTGCTCAGGTGCCACCAGAGGGTCACATGAACAAACCAAAGTGCATCAGGACCCAGGGCCAAGAGCTGATGCATTTGGAGAGGAAAGGGAGATATGGAGATGATTGGAGTGGGATTCAGACAGCAGGGAGTGAAGTTCCACCACTCCCTGTAGGATTTATCTGGCCAGACATGGAAAAGCAACTGCTGGGAGAGAGCCCTGCTCTGCTCTGCCCAGCTCCTCTGAGGAACAGCTTTGGCTGCTGCTGAGACTGTTGGAAAGGGGCTGCACGACTGAGAGACACCAGTGAAATGTTCTGTGGAAAGAGGGGTTGCCTGTATTCACTCCCACCAGAAACCCACAGGGTTTTGGACCATTTTCTCCTTGAGCCGGTGCTGAGAAGGCTTTGCAGGGACTGAGGGGCAAGTGGGGATCAGGCCTGGAGAACGTCCCTCAAGGACATCCCTTCTTGAGCAAGGGCCTGCCCTGGGATACGACTGGAGCCGCTCTGCTCTCCATGACAAACACGGAGAAAACTCCAGGAAAGAGGAAGGCTCTGGCCTCTGAGCTGGCCATGCACCAGCAACCAGAGACCCACATTCCCACGTTCCCAGGAATGCTCCCAGTCCCAGCAGCAAATCCTGCTCAAAAACTCCAGCAAAAAAGCAAGAAGTGGGGTTGTGCTTCCACCCCACTCCCTACAGAGAGGACCAGATCCCATCTGACGTGTCCTGTGGAAGGGTCAGTGCTGACTGCCATTCTCTCTCCCTCCTCATCCTCTCCCCTCTACCAGCACATGATGCCAGCGTGGCTCATCCCCTCATTGTGGTGGGACAGCTCCCCTACACCAGTAGCTCCTGGGTTAGGCTGATCCCATCTGCTGTGTATCCTCCCTGGCTTGTTATCCAAGAAGCCCTGGGCTTGCTTTGGACATCGGAATCCTGTCCAGGATCTGCCCCAGTGTCCCCACAGGACTGTCACCGGCTTGAAGTGGCACATGCCAGAGAAAACACTTCCAGCTGCCTGTGAGCAGCCTGTTTCTGGTGGGAGACTCCCATGGAGTCGGCAAGTGTTGTCCTTTGGGGGTTTACGGGGCCATTTTGTGCCACTGCCCCCCGTGCCTTGCCTGCTCCTCCCCATCCATGGGCTCCCTGCATCCCTTCACCCCAGCAGAGGTGCTGGGCAGGAGCAGGGTCCAGGCAAGGCACGCAGATCACCAGGCACAAAACAGCCAATTTCCATAAATCCCAAGGGAAACATTGCAAGCGTCGGACTTACAGCTGTCGACCTAATGTAAGGCTTGTAGTGAGCGGAGGGTGCTTGGCAGAGGCCACTGGAATAGTCTTTAATTGCACACCCATAGGGCATTAGGTAGTCCTAAAACAACGAACAGAGGTTGGAGAGCCGCCCTCGGCACCCTCAGGCATCCGCCGCACGCCGGGACCGGGAACGCTCCCGCTCATCCCCTCCCAGTGGGACAGGGAGCTGAGACCCCCGGGCAGCACGGCAGGGACTGTGCCCAGGGAGCTGCTCCAGCATCCCCCAGTGCTCAAACACCCCCATGGAGTGGGAGAAGCCGGCGGGAGAGGCTCACCTGGGAGAAGGCGGGCACGGCCACGCTGTACGGCCGCTGCTTGAAGGTGTTGCCGCCCTGTGCCGGGAAGGCCTGCGAGGCCATGCCGTAGTCCGGCGGCGGGATGGAGATGTCATCCTTGTCCAGCAGGTTGCCAGTGCTGCTGCTCTTTCCTTGCTGCAGGCTGGGGGGGGCCCAGAGCAGAGGTGTCAGCTCCATGCAGATACCCCCAGACCACCCATCCGCTCATGGAAAAGCCACCCAGAGCCAGCAACCACCCTGCTGTGCTGCTATTCCTAAGGAGAGTTCCTAAGGAATACCTAACTCCCAAGGACACAGACTCCCTGTCACCCCACACGACGCTCCTACCTGGTGTGGACCCGCTCGCTGCCATCATTGTCAAGGACCCGTGTGTAGGAGAAAGGAAACCAGCCCCTCCTGAAAGGCAAAGGCGGGGATGAAGCCAAAGCCAGGTTTGACCATGGAGGGCCCAGAGGAGGCTGCTCCCGGGGACACGCAGCACACTCACATTTTGGTTTTCTCACTCTCTCCGTAGTGCCAGCCGTCCCGGGCCTCGGGCACCAGCAGTGTGATGAGGTCCCCCTCCTTGAAGCTCAGGAGGGTGCTGTTATCCCCGGCAGCGTGCGAGAAAATCGCCTGCACCCTCGTCCTGCCGTTCCTCTCGAGCCCGGCGGCCATGGAGCTGGAGCGTGGCAGTGTCTTGTTTTCAGCTGAGGGAACAGACACTAGTGGGTGCCCCAAATTCTTCATCCCAAGGCCATCCCCAGGCACAGGGTCCCCATCTCTCCTTACTTCAGTCCAGGTCACACTACAACCTTCAATGTGACTCACACCTTCCCCCTCACCAAACAGGATCAAGCTCTCAGCATCACCCACCAGCCACGGCAAAGGGAGCAGGTTCCCTGTGCCACATTCCACAAGGTTTTCCTCCTGGAAATCCTGTGAAACCCCAGGGCAGAGCCCAGCTCCAACATTTCCTAACACCCAGGTCAGGAGGCACGAGCAGCACTTGACACCAAAGGGATGCTGTGGTCACTGTCCCCCCACCAGCAGCACCCCCAACCATCATCCCCCCCATCCCCCTGGAGCTCTCCTGGGGGCAGAGCTGGCTCCAGGGCCCCCGGCAGCGGGGCCGGGGCCTCACCTGAGGCGTAGCTGTTTTTCGGTGCCACATTTTTGCGAACTGGGAGTGTATTGGAGTAAGAGTCACTCAGCTGCTTCTGAGGCTGGGGAGGAGATAAAGATTTGGGCTGTGCTGGCTTCATCTCAGACCAGTGGTTGTACCCGTCGCTGTCAGAGCCTGAGACTCCGTTCATCACTGGCATGGCCTCCTGTGCCGACATGCGCTGCGAGAGAGGAGGGGAGGGGGACATGGAGTGGCTTCATTAGGGCACCCCCTGCAGCTCCAGGGCCATCCCACTGCAGCTCCCCAGTGGGACACAGCTCCAGGGAGAGAGGCAAACCGAAGCTTCGTCCTGTTGGGTTTAGTTCCCAGCCAAACCAAACTGCTCTGGGGGGAGCAATGGGGGTCTTCTCTATGGTATCTTACTGCTCTGAGCTCCCCTGAACCTGCCAGTTCCCTGCTCTATGCTCAGCTTGTGTCTCCACATCAGCAGGACACCCTCTTCTAAAGGGTCCTTCACCCCATGGGTCACTCCAGGCCTCTCTCCTGCAGTTACTGGGGTACCTGGGTTCAGTCCCACAGCTTGGGGACCAGCCTGGACAGGCAGGTCCAGCCCGTAGGTCCCCCAACAGCACCTGGAAGCCCCTGCTCTGCCAGAGCTCAGTGACTCTGGTGGGATGGGGTGGGACAGGCTGCCCATCCCCAGGTCAGGCTCCTCCCCACATCCCAGGATGGCTCAGCACGGAGCTGCCATCCCTGCCATCAGTGACAGCCCATCCAAGGGCAACTTGCCGAGGACAGCAGTGACACCGGCCTGGCCTCGTCCCTCCGGCTTTGCTCAGAAGGGCAGGACAGCCTCCACCACAGAGATACTTACTCCTACAAAAGGTGCCAGCTCCGGGGGGACAGGGAGAGGTTTGGCACCAGGGATGGGATCAGAGATGATGAGGTTGGACTTGGATGTGGACAGAGGGCTGGGCATGATGGTGCCATTGCTGCTGGCAGCCATCTGCTGCATCAGCTGTATGGCGCGGTCCGGGATCTTGTTGGGGTCCGAGCAGGATTGCTGCCACAGCGGCAGCTTCTGTGTCAGCATCTCCTTCCCCTGCAAGAGCAAAACGAGGTGTCGAGACACAGGGGTACAGGTGCTCTGCCCCCCTTCCCTGGGCAGCACCACATGGATCCAGGGCTGCGCTGGTCTGGGATTGATCGATGGCTCTGTGCATGGCACAGGCAAGATAACACACAGGGACATCCAGCTTCCATGCTCTGATGGCAGCAGAGCCAAGCAGGCATAATGAAGAATGGGAATGAGGGAAGGGAAAGGTAATCCATCTCCCCAGTTTATTCCAAGATATCCTGTGTACAGCATCCCCAGGCTGCAGGGAGCTGGGCAGGGAGCTGGGCCCCATGTGGAGCAGAGAAATAAAACCAGGCTGAAAGCTTGGCAGGGAACAGCCTGTGCTCCAGGCTGTCCCCACATCCCGAGGGATGAGCTGCTTCTGTGGGGTGCTCAGCCCCAGTGGCCTCCAGGCCCCTGTGCTGCATCCAAGCCCCACTGCTCCCTGCCTGCAGGACTGGCAGCCACCTGCTACCATGCTCCAAGGGGTAAACAGATGGAGCCAAACTTGTCCGTTTTCACCCAGAATGTACGAGCATCCCCTTGTGTGACTCAGAGGGGGAAGATGTCCCAACCCCCTCGAGGTCACTCCCAAGGGTGATCCGATGTCTCTGCTCTGCCTCCTCTGGAGACAAAATGTGATTCTGCATATCAAAATCCCCCACTAAATCCAATTTCAATGCCCCTGTATATTTCCCCAACACCAGCCAGCGGGTCCAGCCTCATGATCCTGTGGAGCATCCTGCAGGAGCCACAGGCAGCAGCAGGATGGAGTTTTTAGCAGGACACACAGCACACTCTGGATGAGCCACCAGCAAAGTCCCTCCTGCAAAATCAGCCTCTGTGTGTGCTGCTGCAGGTTTTGGTTCGTTCCTGCTGACCACCAGCCCTGGGGAGTGCTTCTCCCCTCCTGCACTCCGCTCGCCAAGCCAAGCGTGGATCCATGCTGTGGATGTGCCAGGACAGAGCTGACTAATCCAGCTCCCTCTCCTGCTCCAGTGCCAAGCGTGGCGGTGACAGATGGCTGCTGTGAGCCACGGAGGGCGGTGGTGGGGAACAACCAGAACGGGAGCACGAGGCTGCAGAGCAGCACCAGCCCTCGTCTGGATGGATCCTGCTCCAGACCCATGCAGGTGCTGCAGCTTCCCAGGCGGGCAGGGGGCAGCTCCAGCCCTGGTCCAGGACACGGGCAGGAGGGATGTGGAGTTACCCTGGGCAAGAGGGATTTGAAGCAGCTGCTCCTACTGGAGCACCTTCCCTGGAGTCACCTGTTGGTCCAGCACCCCCTCAGTCCCTGAGCTGCAGGGGCTGCACCAGCTGTGGCTTTTGGGATCTCAGGCTGTTCTATGGGATGCAGCTAGAGCTGGGAGCATCCACCCAGTGCCAGGGCAGCCAGGCCTGGCTCTGGCAGGTCCCACTCACCTTGGCGTGGTAGGTGATGGCACTCTTGGCCACCGCGCACTGTTTCTCCACCAGGAAGCAGAACCGTCTCCTCTCTTCCGTCAGAGCTGTCTTGTAGCCATCGGAGACGTAGTTTTCCAGCTCCCCTTGCTTGTTGCTGATGGCTTCGATGTACTGGAAGAGGGAGAGGAGCAGGGAGGGGGCTGCGGGCAGCGCTGTGGGGCGGGCGGTGCCGCGGCAGCCGCGGAGGGGGGCGGGCAGCGCGGGCGGGACCCCGGCACGGGACACACACAGGGACACTCACGTGTGCCTGCACAGCCCCCCCAGCCCGCCCTTACTCATCGGAGCCCCCCACGCAGAGGCGCTGACTCAGCCCGTGGGCTGCACGGGACGAGCTGTACCCGCGGCCGCCCGCTCACCACCCGGGCTCGGAGGCGCTGCCGGGGGCCGGGGCTGCCCCACGGCCCGGGACTGGCAGCGGCCCCCGCAGCCCCCAGCTCATCCTGGCACAAAGCAGCGCGGCTCCCAGCATGGCCTGGCTGTGCCCTGCCCGCTGCCGAGGGACGGCACGGGGACCCTGCCACGCACAGGGCCACCAGCACCTCTGAAACTCTCGGCAGTGCCTTCAGCCTGCATTTACCACAGGGGACACAGAGGTGCTGCTGGGCAGTGCCACACGCTGGCACAGGACGTCCTGGCTGCTCCCTGGTGCCACACCCTGGACTGGCAGACACGGTGGCACTGCCAGGCTGGCAGCCAGAGGCTCCTCTGCTGGCTCCTGCTCTCCCAATGTGACAGGTGCCAGCATGGCTGTACCACGCTGGGCTCTGCCAGTGCTATGCTTGGCACAGCAGCAGCACATGGGGGAAACCCCCAGCTGCTTTGCCCTGTGTGATGGAAAGGTGGCACAGGGGACTCCAGACCACAGGGCAGCACCAGCCTCCCTGAACACAACACACGAGGTGCCCCCAGCACCCTGACCCGGCCACTTTGTCCTCCCTCCATCCCTTTGGATGCTCCCAGCTTCCACCTGCCATGTGGCAGCAGGGGAGCAGCCACTGAGAGCAGCACCTCTCACCCACTGCTGTCCCACACTGTCACACCTCCTTGCCACCACCTCTTCCCTAGGACAGCAGCACCACTACACTGGAAAGCCACAACACCCCCAGCCCAGGCAGGGCTGGACCCGCTTCAGGCAGCCCAAGCTTCTCTGAGATGGGAATTAAACTGGAAATTCAGGGCCCAGAGCAGCTTTGCTGCTTCTTCATGGTTATCAGTTATTTTTAGCATGCTACAATATTTATTAAGAGATACATAAAATGGAGCAAACCAACAAAAGCAGCAAGATTCAGTGACATCCTAGACTTCAAAGGGGGATTATTTTGGGGCTGGACCTGCTCCTGGCTCCCACCCTGCTCCAAGCACCCCCTGAGAGCAAAACCCAGCGCAGGGTTGTAGCCAGCAGGTTTTGGGACTCCCCACATTGCACCAAGCCGGGTGAGAGAAAGAGCATTGGTGAGAAATGGATTAAAAACCCAGTTCGCAACAAACAACCCTATTTCAAAGAGAATTTTTTTCCTCCAAAACAAGAAAATCCAGGGCAAATGCCTGTGGCCATGAGGAGAAATAAGCGAAGGGAGCTGAGCTGATGGCACTGGGCACACAGGTGGAAGTGATGGAGGTTTTGGCATCACCCCAAAGCAGAGACACAGGGCATGGCACTTGGAACACCGGGCAGCAGCCAGGCTGTGCCAGCACAGAGACACTGGGGCAGCGTGGCACAGGAAGAGGCAGCAGCAGCCCCTGGCACACAGAGCCCCTGGAGGAGGAGGAGGAAGCGCTGGGGAAGGCTCGGGACAGCAGCACGCCGCCTCCTCCCGGGTATTATTAGCCTGGGAACAGCACAGGGACAGAGCCCAGAGGCAGCAGCCTGGCAGTGGCGATGGGAGCTGGGAATGGTGCCCCAGTGCCAGCCCCAGTGCCAGCCTGGAGAGCCCCCAGCCCCTCCAGCACAGCCCTGCTATGCCTGGGATGGACCGAGCCCTGCTGCCCGCACTCATCTGCACCATGGGCAGCTCCACAAGAAGTTTCTACCCCAGGGGAAGGGGCAGAACAATGCTCCCCCCTCCTGCAGAGCCCCATTTCTGGAAGGAAAGCACAACCCTGACAGCACCTGAAATAGCAGGAGCACACACAGACCCCGATCCCCATTCATTTAATTAATTTAATTTTTCCCCATCATCCTGCTTAATTTACTAACTGGGTCACCAAGAACGAGAAGGTGAGGAGTGAGAAGATCTCAGCTCCAGCTAATTTGGCTCAGCAGCACAGGGCCCATCCTGCCACGATTCCCTGCAGGATCCCCATCCCGGGGTCAGGCACGGCTCCAGCCCAGACACCACACCACAGGGAGAAACCCTGATCTTAGCAGCTGAGAGCTCCAGCTCTCAGCAGGATTTAAATACGCAGGTACAAGCCTTATTTACACCCCTGCTCTCAGGCTGGTTTTGCAAGGCTCCTGCTAATTCCTGTGTGAGAAAGGCTTGTCTCAGCCAGTCGGAACACGCCGCTCCGCGAGCGCAGAGCCCACGCTCTAAACTTAGTACTCAGAGCTTTATATACTTTATGTAAATATGCTCCGTGTGCCATTGATTTATCCAGAGCCTTGATTTTACATGTTGTTCCATCACAAAATGGCGAGCGACACTCCTTGTTCACGAGGTGGTTTTCAGTTTGGGTTTGCTCAGAATGACAGTGGGCTTTCAGATAACGCCCAGAAAGGCAAATTTAAATAAAAAGCCTGTTAAATGTGCCAGATGCACGAGGGAAAAGTAACACACAAAGCACAGTGTAAAATCTCGGGGCTGCACTCCAAGGAGAAGCTCTGCCTTACCCAGGAGTGAGGCTTCACCTGAAGCCAGGTGCCCACCAGGACCTCAGGGCTGCTGCTCTCATCTCCATTCCCCAGAAATGGGGGAAATCTCAGCCAACCCACACTCTGAACACAGCAAACACCCTTCCCAGCTTGGCATGACCTGATCCCCTTTAAGGGCTGGGGGAAGGGGCTTTCCTGCCAGGCTCAGCAGCTTCTCCAAAACCCCACTGACAAGCACAAACCACTCAAGCACTGTAAACTAAGACCTTGACTGATTGAGGTTGTCAGCTTCAAATTCACATGTTAAGAATCATCTAAATAAAATTCCCAGTTCGAAGGAGGAAAAAGAGACCCCGCTTGTGATCTGAGCAGGCAGGGAGGCAGCCAGGCCGGTGGTCATGCCCAAAGCCAGGGCACACACCAGAGCCACCCAACAGCTCCAGAAAATCCTTTCTGGGTTTCTAGGTTGGAGAGGCCTCAAATAACTCCCCCGTGCCGCGCCCCCCCGCCTCCCACATCCACTTCCAATTCACAGGGAGCCGCTGACCTAATTAGCAGTGTCAGCACGTGGCGGCGCCGGGCAGCGGCTTTGGCGCTGGGATTCTTCCAGGATGCTGCCACGGGGCCAGGCTGGCAGAGCCGGGGCTCCTGCCCGCTCCTGGGGCACCCCTGCCCACGGGGGGCTCAGCCAGGGACCCCCAGGGTGGGCACAGGAGCGGGGCCGGAGCCACGGCGGGCAGCCCCCGTGCCAAAGCCAAGCCGAGCTGCCCCGCGGGTCAGACGGAATTAGGAACACGAGCAGATGAAAAGAGAACGAGCTGCTGCCAACTCCCAGCTCGAGCAGTCACTGTCGTCCTGCACAGAAAGGCAGGGCACACAGCCCTGCCACCTCCCCAAGGCCACGGTGACAGCTTGGGGAGGGGGGTGGAGATCAAAGAGCAGCTGAGAAATGTCAAGCCCCGAAGTGCCAGGAGCACACGCTGCTGTCAGCACAGGTGGAGCAGCAGCGAGCTCCAGCCCAGCCTTTGATAAGCACAGCCTCGCTGGGAAATGAGTTCAGACCTCCCATCCTTCCCAGCCAGGAACGTGCAAACACAGTGAACATGAGCCAAGGGCTGAGCTCCACCACAGGAATCATCACTCCAGATCCTTCGTGGTGTGTCTGGCACCGACCAGGCTGAGCCAAGCGCTGGCCCCAGGGACAAGAGGGGACCCCCACCGGGCAGGAGCTGCCTTGGGGTCACCAGTACAGCACAGCCATGAATTTTGGGGTCAGAAAGCCAAGGGGAGCATGTGGCAGGCATGCTTCCACCCAGCACCAGGAGGGATGCAGAGCAGGGAGGGGCTGTGCCCGCTCCAGCTCTCATGGCAAGGAGGGATTGGTCAGGACCAGTGGCACAGAGCAGTGGGAAAAGAGAAAGGAAAGGTCAGGGAAGAGAAAGGACTGTGCTGGATCGATGCAGCAGGCTGAAATAACTGGAAGGAGTAAACAAGGAGAGAAAGGAGGATTTGTTCAGGCAATCACGAGGGAGAATAGCTAGAAATGGGAGAGGATAAAAAAGTTGGGTTGATTAGCAGGGAAAGAGCATCTGAGCAGGCAAACCTGCTGAAACCCCACCACAGCACAGAGGCAAAATGAGTAGGGATCCTCAGCCCAGACAGCTCTTCCTCATTCCCAGAAATTGCTGCTTGTGAGGCAGCTGGCAGACCCTGGAGCAGCCTCTGGGGTGGCACTGTCCCCTCCTGGCTCCTGCAGCCCCCACCCAGGGAGGTTGGGTGGATCCCAGCCTGGGGCTATCCCATGCTCTTCCATAGCCAGGAAGGAGAGCAGAGCTCGGGATGAGCCCTGACCCAACCTCTCCTGTACGATGGCAAATGAAACAAGAGCCCCACAGCAGGGAATGGCCACCACAGGAGCCCAAACACATTTCCCTGCCTTCTCCGGGGTCACTGACCCTGCAGGAGCCCCCCAGAACCACAGCAGAGCCCTGCAGGTTTCCCAGGGGGGGACAAACTCCCTGCCCCACACAGCAGCAGCCCCCAGGCAGCAGGGGGGAAGGCCCTGGCCCTGCTGTGCTGCCCCCCAGCCTTCCCTGCTCGGCTGCAGCCAAAGCTCCATGGGCTGGAAGCTGGGCCAGAGCTGCTGATGGTTATCCAAGGTGATGGGAAAGGCAGAGCAGATCCTGGGGAGCCAGCCCCTAGAGCCAGGGATGCCAGGCTGCCCTCCTCCCCTGGGAAGGGCTGTCTCCCCTCGTTTGTCACATCTGCAGCAGCCCCAGCCCTGCACACATGTGGTGTTACATAAAGTGCAGAGCGCAGAGCAGCAGGGGAGCGCTGGCCCCAGTCAGCTTCACCTTCCCCTGCCCAAAACGTTCCCCAGTGCAGGAACAGCCCGGGTCAGCAGCCCAGTGCACAGCTCTGGTACCCAAGTGCTCATGGCACAGCCCTGAGCTGAACAGGAACTTCCAGGAACACCTCCAGAGATCCAGGGACAGCCACAGCTTCCCTGGGCACCCTCTGCCAGGGCCTCACCCTCTCACAGGAACTGGAATTTCTCCCAGTATCCCATCCATCCCTGCCCTCTGGCAGTGGGAAGTCATTCCCCCTGTCCTGTCACTCCTCGTCCAAAGTCCCTCTCTTGGAGTCTCTTTAGATCCTGGAAGGGGCTTCTCTTCTCTTCTCTTGCTGGGCACGTGTCCTCC